CGAGTTGCCCGCTGGCTATGTGAGGCCAGGCCCAACCCTCCTTTCCTGAGCCCGGGCCCTGCGTGGGAAGGGGAGACCCTCTGCTACCAGGGGGCTGCATGCACCGTGCCCAGGCAGAGGCGGGGGGGGCTCTGTCCCCACAGCCACAGCATCCCTGCCTGCCTGGTGCATCCTGCTCCCACCCCCACACCTATCACCCATGGCTGCAGCTGCCCCTTGGCCTACCTTGAGGGGTAGGGTTGGATGGAGCTGAGCCCCAAGCCAGACAAGCAGGTCCAAGGCTGGTGCCCTGCTCACTGCCCCATCCACCCATGGGCTCCCACCTTTGCACCAGCTGGGTTGGGGGAGAGGTAAATCCTGCTGGCCCCACTGCAGCTTGCAGCGAGCAGCATTGGCAGGGGGGCAATCCCCAGCCCTGGGCTGAAGCCACAAGCTGGCTGCCCCTCCTGGCGGGGTGGATCTAGGCTTTTGCAAAAGGGGGTGGAGGCAGCGAGGTGCACTGTCACCTAGAGCACAGTGCACCTTTATCTCCATCTGGAAAGGATCTGGAAGCTTTGCCAGCATGCCAGGGCCTGGGGCTGTGGGTTTGGCTTTAGACTGAAGCAAAAACCGCTAGAATTGCATTGCCATGAGTTAAAACCAAGTGAAGTAGGAGCTTTGTCGAGTGCTCTGGGGCAGGTGTTGCACATGGGCCTCTGGGATGGGGCACACTGCTGGGTCGGCTCTGCCAAGTACTGGTGGTGTCTGGGGGCTGCCGGGTGTGAGCACCCCTGGGTGTTGCCAGGGCAGGGCCCAGCTCCCGGGATGAGCAGAGTCTGATACTGGCAGCTGCGAGGCCAGTGCTGGAGCAGGATGGAGCCACTCCCTGCAGGCTGTTCCCAGCACAGGGGGTACCACCAGACTTTCTAGATGGGGAAACAGAGGCACGGGGAGGTGAAGTGAGCGGCCAAAGGTCAGTGGCAGAGGGCAGGGAGCCAGGCCCCTGGGTCTGTGTGCTTCGGGCTGGAGTCGGTGGCAGTGGGCAGCCTGCCTTGAGCGGGAGGTTGGCTTGGGGCAATGCCCTGAGCGTGGCTGTGAATTTCCCCTGGCGGAAGAGGAGGGAAGACAGACGAAAGCAGCAGCAGCATCTGCCTTTTATCCCCCTCCCCATCCTGCCTCCCCCTTGGAGCTGGACCCAGGCAGACTCCACAGGGTTGAATCCAGGCCTGTCTTGAACCCACAGGCAATGTTTTTTGGGCTCAGAGCTTCCAGGTCTTCAGCCAAAGGCTCACGGCTCAGCTTCCCCACCATCTCCCAGCTCTGAAACCGGGGTGTGAGCGCAGGCAAGTGGGGACAGCTGGGAGTTTCCTCCCAAGCTCTCAGATTCCCCCTCCCCCCACCAAGATGAAGAAGGGGAGATGCATTTTGGAAGCATCTTCTCCATCCCAGCCTTGATCTCCATCCCAGAGAGGACTGTGATACAGTCATGGGAAAGTCCAGCTGGAAGGAGCACTGGAGGCAGCAGCCTGATCCCCCAGCCCCATCCCAAACCCCCAGACCTGGCCTGGCCTGACCTGTTCCTGACACCAACCCCCAGCCCCGTGCACAGTGATGAGGCCCATTGCCCAGAGACACCAAGAGCCCCCAGCCCTGCCCCATGGGACAAGGACTAGGGGGCAAGAGCTACCAGGCAGGACCCTGCAGGGCCGAGTCCAGCAGGAGCACTGGCTCTTCAGGTTATAGCGCACCATAAACCCAGCATCAGGACCAAGTCCTTGGATGTCAGTGCCCAGCCACGGGAGGTAGCTTTCCCTGGACCCTGAGGTTCTTCCATGAGAAGTGGTGTATTTCTCTCTCCACCCTTCATGTTTTCCCCACGAGAGTCCACCCCGGCTGTAGCTGCTGCTTTGTTTCGCCCACGGAGCTGCCCCGAGGGTGCTGGGTGCCTTCGGCCGGGCGTAGCCATTCTGGGCAAGGCCTGCTGGAGCTTTCCTTGCTGGCCTGACATGTCCCCATTGGGGGTTGTGCCCGGGTGATCTGCCATGTGGGGGACGCGAGATGCACAGCACCTGTTGCTGCAGGCCCTTGGCTAAGAAAACCCCAGATGCTCTGGACCAGTCGGTCTCTAAGGTGCTCCCTGCCTTGCTAGCAGGGCTGGCTCCCACCACCCTGCCCCTTGGGAAAGGCCAGGGCTCAGCTCCTTCCCTTCTTGGGGCCCAAGCATAGGAGAGACCCTTGGGGAGGTGGTTTGCTGCTCCTGCTGTGCTGGTTCGGATTGGTCAGATCCAGCACATGGCATTGCTCCTGGTCTCTGATTGGATGCATGTGGCATTGCTCTGGGGCCCCATGGGGCAGTTTGCTCCCTGTCTTGCCTTCCCAACCAGCCCTGAGCTCCCCCCAGCCCCAAGGGCATGGACTGCAGGTGTGGGGCACTGTGGGTGTAGGTGCCCATGGGCACACCCCTGCATTGCCCCATCAGCCCAGCACTGCTGCTGTGCACAGCCCCGTCCGGAGCTGATGTCCTGGGGGTGGGCAACACTCTCCCTGGCCTCCACCATCATTGGGGTGCAGCTGCCAGAAGAAGCAGCACCTCCACCTGGCCGTGACTAGATGGATCCCCATGGATGTATCCAGCCCCTTGCTGACCCTGGCTTGTCCCAGGGCAACAAACCCCACACCTTAATAATGTGTTACATCCCTTGTTCATTTTGAACCCGTCCCCTGCTCAGTGCAGCAGTGCCCCTGGCTCTAGTGTCTGGGATGGGGGGAACAACAGCTCCCTGCTCCCTTGGTCCACAGCCTGCACGATGCTGTAGGCCCCTGTCCTCTCCCCACTCCGCCTGCTCCTCTCCACACTGAACAGTCCCGGCCTTTCTCACTGTCAGCAATCCCGCAATGCCAGGGTGAGCTCATACCACCACTCACTGATGGGCCTTGTGGTGTCTGAGTCCTTGAGTCGTGGATCTGGCTGCAGAAGTTGCAGGTCTTTCCACCCAGGAGAGCAGGCTGTGGGCTGGGATTCCTCTCCTTTCCCTTCCTCCTGTCTCTCTTTTCTGCTTCAAGGGCAGGGCACTTGGCCTCAAAACAGGCTGCCGCTTGGTTGAGGTTGGGGCGTCTTTGGAGTTCATTAGCAGCCGGCTTCTCCCAGTGTATGACGACCATCAGGACATCCCTGCATGCAGTCATGGCTGGAAACAGCTGGATTTGGTGGTCCTGTGTCCACCATCACTGGTCCATCGCTGCAGGGCTTTTGGGGAGGGGGGCAGGAGAGTGTGTCGTGTCCTGCTGTACAAGCTGGTGCGTGACTTCTTTAATGGGAGGACGCTGGTGTCTAGCAGCAACAACCACACAATCTTGACAAGATGGAGATCTGGGCCCAGTGGCGAGGGGGATCCTAAATGACAGGAGACCTCCCTCTGGGTGCAGCCCGCTTCCATCTTTGCAGACGCTGAGTCCTGACATCTTCTTCCACCTGATCCTCTGGTGAGGACTTGGGGCTGAACTGGGGCTTGTCTGGAGCCCCCCCAGCCCCCTGCTCTCCATGGATGACCCTGCCAGGACTCATTGACATGGCTTCAAATTGTAGCAAGGTCGGTGTAGGTTAGATTTCAAGAACAGCTTCAGTGCCCCAGCAGGGAGATGCCAGGGCTGGGGGGCTCTGCAGCACGGGAGGGTGCAAGGCGAGACTGGACAAGCGCTGGGCGGGAGGGTCGAGGTGCAGCGATGCCTGTGCTCTGCTGGGGGTGTCCCAGGCTGGGCTGTGCTGGTTGCCCCCCTCATAGGGTCAGGGGCATTGAAGCACCCCAGAGCTGCTAGGTGCTGGCTGCAGCCAGGGCTGGGGCCGTGCCAATGCTCCTGCTGGGACTCAGCCCCGCAGGGTCCTGGCTAGAGGCTCGCTCTGCAACCGCTCACGCTGACCTGGGGGGCAGGCAGGGATTTGCCCCCTGCTCAGCCTGGCTGAGCTGGGAGGGTTTCTTCTCCCTCTGCAGCGGGGCACGGCCTGGGCCTGGGCTCTCTCCAGCACCCACCAACCCCCCGGCAGCAGCAGGACGTTGGCGACCGCGGGCCCCCTGTATCCCAGGGGCAGGGGTGATGCCTGGGGCTGTGCTGTGCAGCTCCAAGCTTGTACACAGGGTTTGTCTTGGACTGGGCTGATCCTGCCTTGGGCTGGATGCGACCCCACAGCTCCCTGCCTGCCCCTCTCCTCTATGATTTCTATGCCTGGGACACACAAGCCTCCCCCTCACTACCAGGTCTCAGTCCTCAGAGCCTTTTTGTCCCTTGACACAGCAACTCCTCCATGCGACACGTGGGTTTAACATGGGGTGGCTTTTCCAGGGGCCTCAAGAAGGAGCTTGGCTGGAAAAGCTGCTCCCGACCCACCAGCAGCCAGGCTGGGCCCTGCAGGGCTGGGACCCCCGGGTCACATCCCCATTGCTCCGCACAGCTGGGCAGGGAGCAGCAGGGGCCGGGAGGGGGTGGGGTGCTCCCAGACTCCAAGTCCCATGATCACCATGATCCATGGGGGGGGTCCTGGGGCCCTGCTCGCTCTGCGGGGACCTGGGCCAAGCTCCGGCTCCCTCCGAGCCACGGGGAGCCTGGGGGCGCAAAGGCAGTGGCCACACTGTCCTCAGCCCCCACCCCAGCGCAGAGCAAGGTGGGGGCTTAGCCCCGGCAAAGGGCTCAGGATGGGGCCCTGGGCTGGGCCGGGTGAGGGAGGCAGCGAGACGCCAGGGCCTCGCCAGGCCTCCGCATTAGTAGTTAATCTGGCATTAGCGCGGCTTTATCCGGGCTCTGCTGCCTCCCCCCGCTTCCCCACCGGCAGGAGCTGGAGCCTGGCTCAGGGTGCAGGCAGGCGCCTGCGCCGTGTGGAGAGAGCCCCCCTGGGAGCCAGGTCCCCGATGGGCCCTGCCTGGAAACCAGCTCCGTCTCCTCCCCCAGCCAGAAGCACCCCTGCCTCCCTCCGCCTGGGTCCTGGCAGGGATCTGCAGCCAGCTCGGGAACCGCATGTGCAGAGGTCCCTGGCTCCATCCCTTCTCCGTGCCCTCCTCAGCCGTCATCCTGCCCCCCGGCACACCATTAACCCTCTGCCTGCCTTGCCCATCCCCCTCTCCCCCGCGGCCTGGGGCTGGGGGTCAATCCTGCAGCTGCTCTGGGAGCCCCAGTGCATGTGGGGGGAAGGGAAGGGAGGAAACCCCCCCCCACCATGCCCCCCTCTGCACCATGCCCAGGCTGGGGTGCCTTCCCCAAGCCGGGGGAGACCCTGAAGGAGGAGAGCAATGGTGGTGGTGGTGGTGTTGGGGCGGGGGGGCAGATATCTGAAAGCCAAGCCAGGGATTCGGGGGGGGGCTTGACCATGTGGAGCAACCTCCCAGCTTCTGGCTGCTGCTGGGTCCTGCTCCCGGGCTTCTTGCTGGATGAGAAATGGGATTTGGAGCCCGCGTGTTCAGTGCATTCGTCTACCCAGGAGGACCGCGGATGCCGGGCCTAGCCACCCCTCGTGCAGCTCCCCGCTGCTTGCAACAGTGCCCCCGGCTCAGTGACCCACACACCAGAGAGACCACGTTTTCTCCCAAGGGTGAATACAGAAGGGAGAACGTGCAGCGGCGCCTCCTGGCGGATGCCCCAGGGACAGCCACACCTGGGCCCCTTGGCTTGTAAGCTAGAGGCCAGGCCCGGAGCTGGGCTTCTGCCCTGGCGGGTGGACACCTTGGTTTCAGTGCAGAGATCCTTGCTGGGGGGAGGCGGTGGGGGGAGTCTTGCCCCTCTTTGCTACTTGGGCATCAACCAATTTGACCTGCCGAGCCCTGGGGCCATGCAGGGGCTCCTCAGCCTGGGGGCTGGACCCTTGTCCTATGCGATGGGGTGGGATCAGGGCTCCCGTAGGACAGGGGCACCGAGAAGAGCTGGGGGTCCTCTGAGCCAAGGCCACATCCACACAGCGCTGGCCGGGCCTTCCTGGGCTTTTGGGCCCCCGCTCTGCGGCCTCACGTGGTCCCATCAGGACCTGCTTGATGCTCTGGCAGCTGCCCCGGCTGGTGCTACTGCTGTCACCTCCCAGGCACAGGGCTGGGACGGGTGGTGAGCGGTGTCCCCAACGAGGCAGGAGCAGAGCAGTGCCCCGCGGCCCCCATGTCCCCCGGCCTAGCTGCTTCTGGTGCAGACAACGAGCAGGTCCTGAAAGGCGAATGGGGCCCAGACTCCCGGGAGGCCTGGTGTCCTAAGCCCCAGCCCCAGGGGCCAGCCCAAGGCAGGATCAGCCCCATCCACT